ATTACTACGCGTTAATCCGGTGAGACTATTCAGTTGTTTTGATCGAATGGTGTTTTATAATTTGTCATTGATTCCATTGAGGATGGATGTGGAAATGTCATGTCCTTGAAACAAAAGCGTACGGGTTCTTTTCCACATTTTGCGCAAGAAGAAAAATGGAACTTATGAATCTGAAAATTTCTGTATGCATTTTCATTGTTCGTCAATTTGTTTGAGTGACAATTCTTTCGGATGTTTTTAATTACAATAAGCTATCATTTCCAACGTTTGTTCGCGCGAATTCAAATTGATCCGTTGTTAGGTGCCGTCTATTTAATCATGTTTTTAGTGAATTAGCGTGGACATTGGAATTACTAACATCTGATGAAGTTGCCACTTGCTTTCTACAATTGAAAAGCTTAGATTAAGAATGGAAAATGGTCAACCCTACAAAACTGCATCTCAATTTTAGCTCAACATAGTTGTAGGTTATCACATAGTTAAATTTCAATGGAAAGTAGTACTGTACTAAGAAATGCGAAGTTCACAGTAAATCCAGAACTTTACTTCGAAAAGTCTGATACTGTAATATACATCGAAGTAAAAAAATGATCAGTTTATTTGCAAAAAGGATTCCAAATTTAACAAAGGATTTTAATTTTTTATTCTATCAATTTGTTCAAAAAGCCAAACCCTTTTTGGAAAATGTAAACGAAATATCTCTCCAGACTGCTACCAAGGAATTTCAAGCTCACTACCAGAACAAAAGGTAACATTATTTGAATTGCAGTTGAAGTACCAATCCTGTTCATCATCTTTGACTAAAAACTGACCATTGTACTTGGTGGCACATGAAGATAAATTCACAAGTACAGTTGAACCTCTCTAAGTCCAGTTTCAAGAGACCACCAAATGTTTCTAGTTAGGGGGTTAAGCTTCTGAAGTTTATAGTAGGGGAAAGATAGAAGAATTGGAGGGAATTGTAATTCTGGACTTAAATGTGTTGACATAATCGCTGAAGCAAGGGTTCATTTTCCCAATTAGTCTTTCACAACACGTTAAATTAATTTTGTTGCGTTTCTCTTTCATGTGTTGAGAACTTATTAACCAAAAGGAGAAAATTCAATCCTCAGAAAATTCAAATGATTTCTGCAAGTTAGAAAAGTTTTTATTCATTATTTCTAAGGTTATTCAGATGGGGGACTTGAAAAATTCAAATGAGAGAGTTATTTGGAGGTTTGAGGTTCAACTGTACTGGAAAATAGATTATGAAAAAATTTAAGCTAGATAGTTTTTCCCATTAAGGTAGCATTTTAAAATTCATTATCCATAAAAAGAAGCCAACAGGTTATTTCCTCCCCGCCAAAGAAAAATAATTTGTGGACCGATAATTTTTTCTGCATACAGTCAATATTCTGCTACATGGGTTTAGACTGAAAGAAAGCTGAAACTTACTTGGCCTGTTTATATGATCAATCATGCGCTTCTCGAGAATTTCCTGGACATTCGCCATCAAGTTCACTTGGACCTTCGAATCGGATTCCACACCACACACAATAATTATATAAAGTTCTCAAATATTCAGTGATTTCCATCAACTTTTCGCCATCTGACAATGTCTCTTCCTCCGATTCTTCTTCGTCTTGTACGTCAGTTTCATCAGGCGGTTTCAGTGGCCAAAACCACGGGATTCGAGGCTCTACCATGCCTGCCTCCACATCCTGTGTTCGGCAAGCCTTCTGTGCATTGCTCAAGTCTCTAGAAATTATTTTTTCGGCTAGAAGCTGACTTTTTTGAGATCGAAAATCTACCAGCATTTCTTCTCGCTTTGATGCTCGCTCTTGCATTTCGCTGATCAATTTCTCGTGTTTCTTGTTTTCCTCTTCCGGCTTCCCTAGTCCGAACCTGTTAGCTTTTACGATAGGCTTGATTGGTTCAGTGCGAGCATTCGGCTGTATTCCGAGGGCCTTGCCGGGTTCATAGCCCATCTTCGCGAGTAGCTGAAATCCTTTGTTAGTCGGTTCAATAGCTGTCGATAAACCTTTCTCTAGAGTTGTCACAGCTTCCCTGGCTTTCTCTTTCCTGTCAGGAGAAAAACATTGCTGATGAGTTATGCTACTACAGTAATTAGATAATGAGCACAAGACATAAATTATGGCGGCCTCGATTCACTCATGATTATTGTATGGCATTTAATGTTCGACATTTTGGGGAGTTGCGAACATCTTAATGGTAAAATATGCATCAAAAGAACTGCGATAGTGTAACTAAAGAGAATAATGCGTTCGGCGCAAGTGAACGCAACGGGTAATTCTTCAGGACAAATCTCGGTAATTGACTTTCACTAATGCAATTGATAGAACAAATAACTCCAACGAAATCACCAATCCTCCCATGAAGCGCTATGAAAGCTAGTCGTGAAATGTCATACATGATCTTTTTCTCCTTTAATGGTCGAAAAACATGGGATTGCACTAATTTTCCCTTGGATTATCTTCCTTCTTGAATTTTTTTTCCCTTTATTAAACACGAAGTCAGTGACTTATTAGTTAATTACTCTCCAAAGTACAAGATTATAATTTATTTTGGCTCAGAATGATGAGAGAAAAATTTTTTATTAGACCCAGCACGCAACATAAATCATCGCACGAAGCTTCTGAAATTTGAAGGAATAGTTTTGTTCTAATTACTGTGCTGTGTACAATTCTAAGGAGACGAATCAGGAAATACAGAATTGTAAATATCATACATTAATTAATTACAACTAATTTTTTAAACAATGCAAATATTCTCGAAAATCTTTGATTTTACTTCTAAACGATTAAACAAACTTCCATCTGCTTACTTAGCTTTCTTTGCTTTATCTTGCTCTTCTTTCGCCAGCTGTTGACGTTTCCATAGTTCTCTTTTCCGCTTCTCCGACTGAGGAGCATCACCGCGAATGTTTGTCGAGGAGCTGCTCGATGCTGCTGCTAGACACTGCTTCAAAATATCCTCTGAATCATAATCTTCATCGTCCGACATGGTCACGGGTTCCTTCGCGTCGGGTAAATGTATCACAGTATCAATGATAAATAAAACATGGAAATGCGTCAAGAAAGCAATAAGAAATAAATAATGGTTTCTTCGAGAACAACATCCGTTTCTTTCGACTTAAAAAAAAACATATACTGCGTAGGAAAATTTGTAAAAGATTCAACCGTCACGCTGAAGAAAAAATGTACATCACAAAGCATTTCGTTTGACTGATCATATCTCTGGCGAGAGCCAAAGCGAGTCACGAAGAGCGGGGTTCAATTGTCACATATTCAGTACTCACTGAGCATCTTTTACATGGCATCACAACTATTTTCACATCTCACCAAAAACAGCCCGTCCAAGGAATAACTGAACAAAATACATGTATCTACACAGCTCTCGAAGTCATCGCATCATGCCCGAAATGTTGAGATGCAACGAAACGTCTTCAACTCTCGACACATCCGCAATGGAACTCGCATTCGAAATCCGTCCAATGGAGCTTCCTCCGGAATTAGGCTCCACGAATGACGCGTCATCAGAGAGCACAGACGGCTGACTGCGCCATGCGCATGGCTCTTTCAATTGATGCCGGCTAAAAAAATAAATTTAAAAAAGAACACTGATTATAATCTGAGCATAACTACAAAACAACGGAATGTTGACGCTCAGTGAGGAATTTCTGCTCGCGTTATCAATTTGTCATAGCCTTTTTCAGAGAACTAAAAATCCTCACAAACTGGGGCCGGTCTTCTGGCATCATTTCTAACATTTGCTGAAGGACAGAAGTTCTCGGTGTGATCAGCGAAACCCATAGTTGAATAAGAATCGGTATGAGGAAGTAGGGCCAATACAGGATAGGTAAGGATTTCTACGTTCAAAAAAAAGGCAGAAGTCTGGACAAAAAAATTCCTCTTCTCTTCAAATTTTGGAGCACATAGAAGTGCGATTACTGTACCTTCTTCCAGTTCTTCATACATGAACCCACTGTAACGTACAGTACGTCGAACTATAGAAGTTGTATTAATACTTCACTCAGAATCACCTATGCTTCAAAGACGTGTATTTATAGGAAGTGAAGCCAATGCTGATCATTTTCGGGCAAATACCGTATTTACTCGAGTAAGACGCACACCCCTTTTTTAGTGACTTTAAAGCTGCGTTTTGAAATAAGAACACCCAAATTTGAATTTGGACCTGAATTCAATTTATTTGAAATTGTCTTCATAAAAATAAACTTCTCTGATGAAATTGATCTGAAATTTCCCTTTATGATTGAGTATAATGCACATTTAAACTTCTAAAAAAA